CACGCGTCTACACGCGGCACGGAGTAGGTAGTTCGAATTAGGATCTCTACTTCAAACTACCGTTACTCCTCGTGGAATGAGGTGTACCAGTAGTTCGAATTAGAGATCCTAATTCGAACTACCTACTCTGTGCCGCGTGTAGCCGCGGGCACAGAGTTCGGACTAAGGGACATTTAAAAATGGCGGCGCATGGGAAGATGCAAATGAAGCCCGGGATATTTAAATCCCGGGCTTCATTTGCAACTTGGAATGCCTACATTAGCCTCCCTAGTTCGAACTAGGGGGCTAGTGTAGACAGACCCTAGGAGCTGAGAGTTTTTGCTGGGAGCAGGGGCAGTATAGGAATCCTTCTCTCTTCCTCCTCGACTCCCCTCTCCCTCTGCCTCCTTCTCATGCCCAGGGCAAAGCCACATGGAGCAGCAAGCAGCCTGTGGCAGACAGTCTGCCTCACGTTTCTGCAGGTAAGCACCTCCCAGCCAGAGCCTGCTTCTGGCACCCCAAGCCTCTGCCCCCTCCACATATCAAACCCTCTGCCCCCTCCTGCACCCAACCCCTCCCCCCCAATCTCCTGCCCCAGATCACAGTCCTCTCCTATCCTAGGTCACATCCTCAAACCCTGCATCCTAGTCCTCCCTCCTAAACTCCCTCCCAGACCCCAGTTTCCCTCCTGCACCTCAAACCCTTCTCCCAAGCTCCCTTCTGCACCCAGCCTCCATCCCCCGCCCTGGAATTCCCCCACTAACGTCCTGGAAGAGTGCATCCCTCGACCATTTCCCAAAATCTTGGAGTGGCCCCTCTGTCAAAAATTATTGCCCACCCCTACTCTAAGATGTCGTGGGGTGGGGCAAGAGGGGACAGCTTCCCCCCATACTGCCCCGCAGAGAACCAGTGCAAACAGCCAGTCGAGGACACGGCCGGCGGGACGGCTGTCCAGGGGAGTCAGCTCAGCCGCACGCAGCATTGCCTGCTGCTGCACGCGCCGTGTGACCAGGGGTTCTCCGGCCTTCCCACCACCACCCATTTCTCCCGCTTCTACCATCGCTCCCCGCGGGCCTCTCTCCCGGGGCCTGGCCTTTGTGAACGTTGCCGTCTTAG